TTCCAACCCTACCTATTCTATGATTCTGTGACTCCCTGATGCTACCACCGAAGGTCTCTTGCATGCACATTGCAAGACATGACTTGCCTCCCTTTTTGGAAAAGTAGTTGCTGGGTGCCTAAACCATTCCTTTGTATCTCTTTTTATCCTATGCTGCAGTAATTGAACTTTATCCTGGGTTTTTTTCCTACTGTTTTAACTCCAGGAACTCTTACAGGGAACACCCTTAAAAACTAAGCTCTTTCTCTTTGTGTTAATGTTTCTTGAACAGTTGAAAATCTTTTTAACAGAATATAGTCTTTTCCTAGCTTATAAAATCTGTTCTTTTAAGTGTTCTCTAAACTTCAAGTAATTTTCTTGGTTGGTTTTAAACTACTCCCCCTGACATTGGAATAATCTTAGGAAAATTTAAAGGCATTTTTTAAAAGAAAAATAATACTTTAACAAATGCAATATGCTTGTATCATCCATGAGCCAACAACCTGAGCTTGCCAGAAAGAAAGTATCTATGTTTAGTGACTTAATCAAGGTACTTGTTTGAGAGCAGTGTTTTGCACAGAACAGAAATAACTACCTTTCTTTATTTTAGTGACATTTGAGGACAAAAGGAAAGCCAACTATGAGAGGGGAAATGTGGAGCTGGAAAAACGCCGTCAGGTCCTTTTGGAACAGCAGCGGAGAGAGGCTGAACGTAAGGCTCAGAAAGAAAGAGAAAAACAAGAGCAAAGAGAGAGGGAACGCCAAGAACTGGAACGGAAAAAACAACTCTTTGTGGAAAAACAACGAGAGAGACGACAAGAGTTGGAAAGACAAAGGGAAGAAGAGAGGAGGAGAGAAATAGAAAGGCGGGAGGTTGTTTTCTTGAAATTATTTTTTTTAATGCTTTAAGGAATATGTACATGCATACAGTATTCACTTGGCAGAGCACGCAGGGTTTGAATGCTGGCTTGGGTTCTGTCTCCTCACATGGCCATTGGCAGGTTGTCTTAGACCATTATTTCTGTCTGAAATCATTGTGTCTATTGTAAATGAATCAACTGTTGGTATAGGCTGAAGATTTTCAGAAGAGGACAGAAGAGGTTTTCTTTGATAGATTTCTTGGACGTATGCAAAAATCTCCAAGCCAAACAAGATTGTAAATATTCTGACAATTGAACTTGAGACAGACTTGCTTCTATTTGTTGTCTCAGCCATGTGTAAGACTTACTTGCATATTTTATGTATAAAATACTCAAAGGTTATGAGCACTATCTGTCAATGTGCTCATTTATTAGCATTATTCCATGCTAAACAGATTTTCACTCTGAATTATGTAGCTTTTCTTCATCCAGAGTGAAGAGCATGGCATGAATAATCTTATAGGTTAACTTCCTCCATTCTTTGATGCCGAAATATGTAAGAACACTTTTCAAAAGACAGTATGTTGTGTTGCTGTTACGCTATTTAGAAACAGAGCACATTATATTAAATCGTGGTCTCCGAGTTCTGCATCTCCATTGTAATTTACGGCAATGTAACTTTTCTGCAGGCAGCAAAGCAAGAACTTGAGCGCCAGCGACGCCTGGAATGGGAAAGAATTCGTCGCCAAGAACTTCTTAATCAACGTAACAGGGAACAAGAAGAAATTGTCAGGTTGACCTCTAAAAAGAAGAGCCTTAATCTTGAACTAGAAGCCCTGGTAAGACAGAAGTTTCACTACACATCTTGAAACACAGTATTTTAAAGTATGTACATGTTAATCTACATTAGCGGCCCACTAGAGTTTTTCACTGTTTTGGTTGAGGAATCTCAAGCAGGTAATTCATGTTGTTTTAAAGAACTGAACATAAACTAATCTGCCCACAGATTTAGTATGTGGTGTAACTGGTCTTTGATTTCTTTGTAGACAGACAAACATCAGCAAATCTCAGGCAGATTGCAAGATATTCGAAGCAAAAAGCAAATTCGAAAAACTGAACTGGAGGCTTTAGATAAGAAATATGACCAAGGGATCATGGAAGTTAACCAGCTACAACAAGAGCTTCGGGTTTGTGACTTCCTGTTAAGCTTGTGGTTTTCCTTTGCTTCCTATTCTGTGTTTCCGTGACGCTGTTCATAATACATCCCTGTAAGGAGGACTAGTGAATCTTATTATAGTGGAGAGAGGAAATTGGCAAGGTTGTCAGCACTGCATAGGTTTTTAGTTTATTTGTATTAAAGAAATTATTGTATGGTTTACAGTAAGTTGATAGTTGTGTGAGGATAGTTGTCCAAACCTCAGCTGTTCTTTTGTGAATCAGTAATAGTGATTTCCCTTTAATTATGAATTACTTTATAGCTCCAGACTCAAATTATTATGTGGAATGTTTTTCTGTATGCAGAGCAAGTTGGTCTTTTGGGGATGAATTACCTTGCTGCTCTTTTTTTCTTTGAATAGCAAGACATGAATTATTTCATATCAGTTGACTACCATAAATCACCCTTTACTACACTTTTATGTAATGCTCCTGCACATCAGGGAAACTTCTTTTCATGTTCCTGTGTGTCATGGAATGTTACTGTTAGGCTTGGGGCAGGCAACTTAAGTGTTCTCATGATAGTATTTACACTTCTAGATGGCCTTTTTTTTTTTCCAGCTATGTTAATGCTTTTTGTTCAAAATTTATATTATAATTATATAGCATATAGCATAATTTAT